GGGGGGGGGGGGGGGGGGGGGGTGCATTTCACTCCGGGTGAATTTGCACGGTGGCCTTATGCCGAAAACGGGGGCCGGCGAGGAAAGCAGCGACAGCGTATCAGAGACGAGCTAGCAGAGCCTCACGTCAGACACCCAGAGCAACAAAGGCGCTGCATTCCCACCGTCCGGAGATGTCATTCCGTGCGGATTTTAACCCCGTCGTCAAAGATTTGCCAGAAAACCGCTACTGGTTGGCATCGCTGCTGGAATATTCCCTGATTGTCACCGCCTCAACTATTGGGGTCCCCCCCCGCAGGGAACAGCAGCTCCTTCCCAAGCCCCTATTTCTATTTCATGAGACCGCCCAGCGGCCTCTTCCAGCGTCTTTTGTTGTGCGCCCGAGATCTGGGCGTGATCCTCAGGGGTGGAAACCGAAGCCGACTGTACCTTATCGGGAGGCGGGAACTGCAGCTGATTGACATCCAGGGGCGTGATGAGGGGGATGGTGTCGAAGCCATCCTCCAGGAGGGGCTGCTTTGTGCTCTTCTCGTTGAAATTGTTCCCCAGCTTCACCATCCTGCCCGGCTCGGAGGGGGGGTCCTAGGAGAACCAGGGCAGGGCCGGGTCACCCGCTCGTCCCGCCCCACAACACGGCCCCTGCTGCGGCCCCGCACCACCCCGGGCTCGCCCACACCGCTGCCAAGAAGGGCAGGAAAGCGGAGGATGCCGCCATGGCATGGGGGGCACCATGGTATGGCGGAGGGGGGGGTCTTGGTGCGGACTGATCCACGCGCCGCTCCGGCCGCCCGCGGGGGGAGGCAAGAGGCTGCTCCATCCTCCCGGGACGCCCGCCCGGCCCCGCATCCCCTGCACCCCCGGCCCCGTGTCCTTACCGCGAGTGCGGTGCGGTGCGGTGCGGTGCGGTGCGGGCTCCCAGCCCTGCTCCTGCAGAGCGCGCGGAAATGGCGGAGCTGCTGCACTGTGCGGAGCGGCGGCGGCGGCGGGGGGAGGAGGAGGCGGAGGCGGGAGCCGGGGGGAGGCGCGGGGACGGGTCTCGCCGGCTCCCCGCG